TGCAATCAAAAAACTGATCAGCAGATTGCACAGCTAAAGTCTGAAGCACCCAGTAGCTGCATATCTAAAGGGATGCCGAGGGTGTGCGCTCCCAGACTGCCGATCAGTTGCTTGATTACACTCTATTAGCAACTGATCAATCAAGCAACTGATCAGCAGATTGACCAGTTGCTCATAGAGTGCAATCAAGCAACTGATCAGCAGATTGCACAGCTAAAGTCTGAAGCACCCAGTGGCTGCATGTCTAAAAGGGGTGCCAAGGATGTGCACTCCCAGCTCAAAACAGTGACTGGCCATAGATATCTATGTGGCAGCGCAGCATAAGGCCCACCCACAAGCAGCCACATGCATGCATACAGCCGGTGGGAAGGCATTATAGAGACCCTGCTACATAGCCCGGACTGGGCAAGGCGGCAGGGTCTCCAGGTAGCAACAGCGCCCAGTAAAAATATATTTTTCTGTATATGTGGTTTTTTTTTTTTTTTGTTTTTTTGTTTTTTTATCATCTGCACAAAAAAAGTTTTTGTTGTTGTCTGCAGCCCTGACATCATCAAGTCTAGCTACGGTTCGGGTACAAAAACATCGAGAGAGGTACAAGAAAGGCATATCAGGAATTTAGAATGTCTCAACTAGTATATTACAAGAACAAGGAAAAAAAAAAAAAAGAAAAAAAAAAAAAATATCACACATTGTAAGTGCTTAGAAAGAGAAAAAAACCAATGAAGAGAATGAAGGGGGAGGGGCCTGAAACATGTACAAACTCAGCACAAAAAGTGGCATCTGCTGTACAACGGGGAGTTGTGCTGCACCCCCCCTAGTGGTAAGACTGGCTCCCGATGATGAAGGCCGGGCTATAGGAGGATGCAGTCCGAGTCTTGCTTCCGCCCCCTGCCGCCGGTCCGAGGAAGGGCGCCCTGAAGGCTGAGGCCGCGCCTGGAGATGGAAAACAAGTTCAATTAAAGTGAATGTAAACTCAAATCACTAAAATCACATTGCCTCGAATAGCCTTTCAAAAATGTTATGATATAGAACACCCTGGCATCCCTTTAGATGTGCATACTCCTCCCTGCTGGCCACTGTGTGCTGAAAACCTGAGGATTAGGCAAGCTCCTGTAAGCGTCACAGCACCCAGATGTTAGCTGTGCAATCTGCTGATCAGTTGCTTGATAGGGTTTGGTAAATCCCTGTATAGGTCATAGCACCCCTCCATAGATCTTCTTTCAAGAACCTGTGTGTTATATTAAAGAACAGATCCCTGACATCCCTTTAGATGTTCATGCTCTGCCCAGTTACAAACTGGGTGCTGCAGACTTTAGCTATGCAATCTGCTGATGAGTTGCTTGATAGGGTTTGGTATGTCACAGCAGCCCTCCATAGATGTTCTTTCAAGAACCTGTGCGTTATATTAAAGAACAGATCCCTGACATCCCTTTAGATATTCATGCTCTGCCCAGTTACAAACTGGGTGCTGCAGACTTTAGCTGTGCAATCTGCTGACGAGTTGCTTGATAGGGTTTGGTATGTCACAGCAACCCTCCATAGATGTTCTTTCAAGAACCTTTGTGTTATATTAAAGAACAGATCCCTAACATCCCTTTAGATGTTCATGCTCTACCCAGTTACAAACTGGGTGCTGCAGACTTTAGCTGTGCAATCTGCTGATCAGTTGCTTGATAGGGTTTGTTATGTCCCTGTATATGTCACAGCACCCATCCACACATCCATCTTTCAAGAGCCTTTGTGTTACATGGAAGAACACATCCCTGATATCCATTTAGATGTGCATGATCCTCCCTGCTGGGCACTGCATGCTTCACACTTTAGCTGTGCCGATTAGTTGCTAATAAAATATAATCAAGCACCTGATCAGCAGATTGCACAGTTAAAGCCTAAAGCATGCAGTGGCTGCCCGATCAAGCAACTGATCAGCAGATTGTACAGTTAAAGTCTAAAGCATGCAGTGGCTGACCATCTAAAGGGATGCTGAAGACGTGTTTTCATATACCACTCACAACAGCAGTCTAGTGAATGACGCGAGCCCCCCAAAGATCATGCCCAGAGAGGAGGGCCAATTGCGGTATGGATCAGAGGAGGGGATTGGAACGCAATGCAGGCAGGGTCCACTGTTGTTACCCTCAGAAAACCAGTCCCTAGAACTGCCATGCAGCCATTGATGGACTCCGGCTGTCACTTACTCCATGCAGCCAATCCCAGCCTCCCTCTCCAGGATGAACACTCTGAAGTGTGATCTATGGGCAGAGCCTGGGGTTTACCCTGTGCGGGTGACGTAACGGATGTAAATAATGGGGGATTAGCAGAGGCAGCAGGTGGTGGGCGGGAAGCCTCTGTCACCGATTTGTGGGAAATACTTATTCACACGTAAGAAACGAGATTACATGCGGGTTCTGACTCAACCCAGATTACAGATCGGTTTTCCGAGTGTCTTAGTTTATTTCTGAGTGCCGATGTCATACCCAACACATTGCCAGCGAGCGGATATAGCAAACGCGGGGTCCGGGGAGAGCGGATCTAGCGAACGCGGGGTCCGGGGAGAGCGGATCTAGCGAACGCGGGGTCCGGGGAGAGCGGATCTAGCGAACGCGGGGTCCGGGGAGAGCGGATCTAGCGAACGCGGGGTCCGGGGAGAGCGGATCTAGCGAACGCGGGGTCCGGGGAGAGCGGATCTAGCGAACGCGGGGTCCGGGGAGAGCGGATCTAGCGAACGCGGGGTCCGGGGAGAGCGGATCTAGCGAACGCGGGGTCCGGGGAGAGCGGATCTAGCGAACGCGGGGTCCGGGGAGAGCGGATCTAGCGAACGCGGGGTCCGGGGAGAGCGGATCTAGCGAACGCGGGGTCCGGGGAGAGCGGATCTAGCGAACGCGGGGTCCGGGGGAGAGCGGATCTAGCGAACGCGGGGTCCGGGGGAGAGCGGATCTAGCGAACGCGGGGTCCGGGGAGAGCGGATCTAGCGAACGCGGGGTCCGGGGAGAGCGGATCTAGCGAACGCGGGGTCCGGGGAGAGCGGATCTAGCGAACGCGGGGTCCGGGGAGAGCGGATCTAGCGAACGCGGGGTCGGGGGGAGAGCGGATCTAGCGAACGCGGGGTCCGGGGAGAGCGGATCTAGCGAACGCGGGGTCCGGGGAGAGCGGATCTAGCGAACGCGGGGTCCGGGGAGAGCGGATCTAGCGAACGCGGGGTCCGGGGAGAGCGGATCTAGCGAACGCGGGGTCCGGGGAGAGCGGATCTAGCGAACGCGGGGTCCGGGGAGAGCGGATCTAGCGAACGCGGGGTCCGGGGAGAGCGGATCTAGCGAACGCGGGGTCCGGGGAGAGCGGATCTAGCGAACGCGGGGTCCGGGGAGAGCGGATCTAGCGAACGCGGGGTCCGGGGAGAGCGGATCTAGCGAACGCGGGGTCCGGGGAGAGCGGATCTAGCGAACGCGGGGTCCGGGGAGAGCGGATCTAGCGAACGCGGGGTCCGGGGAGAGCGGATCTAGCGAACGCGGGGTCCGGGGAGAGCGGATCTAGCGAACGCGGGGTCCGGGGGAGAGCGGATCTAGCGAACGCGGGGTCCGGGGAGAGCGGATCTAGCGAACGCGGGGTCCGGGGGAGAGCGGATCTAGCGAACGCGGGGTCCGGGGAGAGCGGATCTAGCGAACGCGGGGTCCGGGGAGAGCGGATCTAGCGAACGCGGGGTCCGGGGAGAGCGGATCTAGCGAACGCGGGGTCCGGGGAGAGCGGATCTAGCGAACGCGGGGTCCGGGGAGAGCGGATCTAGCGAACGCGGGGTCCGGGGAGAGCGGATCTAGCGAACGCGGGGTCCGGGGAGAGCGGATCTAGCGAACGCGGGGTCCGGGGAGAGCGGATCTAGCGAACGCGGGGTCCGGGGAGAGCGGATCTAGCGAACGCGGGGTCCGGGGAGAGCGGATCTAGCGAACGCGGGGTCCGGGGAGAGCGGATCTAGCGAACGCGGGGTCCGGGGAGAGCGGATCTAGCGAACGCGGGGTCCGGGGGAGAGCGGATCTAGCGAACGCGGGGTCCGGGGAGAGCGGATCTAGCGAACGCGGGGTCCGGGGAGAGCGGATCTAGCGAACGCGGGGTCCGGGGAGAGCGGATCTAGCGAACGCGGGGTCCGGGGAGAGCGGATCTAGCGAACGCGGGGTCCGGGGGAGAGCGGATCTAGCGAACGCGGGGTCCGGGGAGAGCGGATCTAGCGAACGCGGGGTCCGGGGAGAGCGGATCTAGCGAACGCGGGGTCCGGGGAGAGCGGATCTAGCGAACGCGGGGTCCGGGGAGAGCGGATCTAGCGAACGCGGGGTCCGGGGGAGAGCGGATCTAGCGAACGCGGGGTCCGGGGAGAGCGGATCTAGCGAACGCGGGGTCCGGGGAGAGCGGATCTAGCGAACGCGGGGTCCGGGAGAGAGCGGATCTAGCGAACGCGGGGTCCGGGGAGAGCGGATCTAGCGAACGCGGGGTCCGGGGAGGAGCGGATCTAGCGAACGCGGGGTCCGGGGAGAGCGGATCTAGCGAACGCGGGGTCGGGGGGGGAGAGCGGATCTAGCAAACGCGGGGTCCGGGGAGAGCGGATATAGCAAACGCGGGGTCCGGGGAGAGCGGATATAGCAAACGCGGGGTCCGGGGAGAGCGGATATAGCAAACGCGGGGTCCGGGGAGAGCGGATATAGCAAACGCGGGGTCCGGGGAGAGCGGATATAGTAAACGCGGGGTCCGGGGAGAGCGGATATAGCGAACGCCGGGTCCGGGGAGAGCGGATATAGCGAACGCCGGGTCCGGGGAGAGCGGATATAGTAAACGCGGGGTCCGGGGAGAGCGGATATAGCGAACGCCGGGTCCGGGGGAGAGTGGATATAGCGAACGCGGGGTCCGGGGAGAGCGGATATAGTAAACGTGGGGTCAAACTGGGGTGAAGCTATAGACAGCATATAGAGGGGTATTTAGAGGACAACATCCACTGTGGCGATTCTTGACACCCCACGTTACCTGCGCAGGGGACTGTGACGGTCCTGATACTGGGGCAGGGGGAGGCTGCTGCTGCTGTTGTTGTTGCTGCTGCTGCTGCTGTTGGTATTCCTCCTGTTGTAACTGTCTGGCCAGCTCCAGGTCACTGATGGGCAGGGGGCCTTGCTGCTGCTGTTGTAATGACAGAGCGATCATGTAATCCTGGAAGGGAAAAAAGAAAAAAGAAGAAAGAAAAAAAAAAAAAAAAAAAAGATCAGTTGCCTTTTCCTAAGAGGACCATGGAAAACGTAGTCTCCTTTTGGCTGCCAGCTACAGAAAGTGACTAAAAGGTGAAAGTTGCTGTTGAGGTGTTAAAAACGCGAGGTTAAACTGTGCGTTTTTACTTTCTGCTATAAAACATATCTAAAAAAAAAAAAAAATTTAATAAATTTCGTCGAAAAATGTATTCTGCTACGTCTTTGGTAATAAAAAAAAATAAAATAAAAAAAAAATACAAGTAAATATATATTGATTGGTTTGCATGAAATTTATAGCATCTACAAACTATGTTCTATGTACTGAAATATTTATTTATTCATTTCTTACTAGTGATGGCAGCAATCAGTGACATGTAGTGAGACTGTGATACAGCGGAGGGCAATCTGACACTAACTGACACTTTGTGGAAACTGCTCAACTGCCGATCGGTGCTGATAATATACATGGTCACTGTACTAATGGCACTGGCTGGAAAGCGGATAACATTCCGGGGCAATCAAGGGGTTAATGGAGTGCCTAACATTGTGTAATGTGTGCTGCTTTTTACTACAGATAGATTCGTTTCTTTTCCCTTTGCAGGGAAAATTTTTTTTAAAAAATATAGTTTTTTTTTTTCAAAATTGTCGGTCTTTTTTTGTTTATAGTGCAAAAAATTAAAAAGCGTACAGGCGATCAAATGCCGCCGAACGAAAGCTCAATTTGTGGGGAAAAAAAAAGGACATAAATTTAATTTGGGTGCAGCGCTGCATGACCGCGCAATTGTCAGTTAAAGTAATGCAGCGCCGTAACACCAAAAATGGCTGGTCAGTAAGGGGGAGAAATCCTCTGGAGGGGCGAGGGGGAAATCCTCTGGAGGGCGAGGGGGAAAACCTCTGCAGGGCGAGGGGGGGGAATCCTCTGCAGGGCGAGGGGGGAATCCTCTGCAGGGCGAGAGGGGGGGAATCCTCTGCAGGGCGAGGGGGGGAATCCTCTGCAGGGCGAGGGGGGGAATCCTCTGGAGGGCGAGGGGGGGAATCCTCTGGAGGGCGAGGGGGGAAATCCTCTGGAGGGCGAGGGGGGAAATCCTCTGGAGGGCGAGGGGGGAAATCCTCTGGAGGGCGGGGGGGGGAATCCTCTGGAGGGGGAGGGGGGGGGGGGAATCCTCTGGAGGGCGAGGGGGGGGGGGGGGAATCCTCTGGAGGGCGAGGGGGGAATCCTCTGGAGGGCGAGGGGGGAATCCTCTGGAGGGCGAGGGGGGAATCCTCTGGAGGGCGGGGGGGGGGGAATCCTCTGGAGGGTGAGGGGGGAATCCTCGGGGGGGATCCTCTGAAGGGCGAGGGGGGGGAATCCTCTGGAGGGGGGGGGGGGGGGGGATCCTCTGGAGGGCAAGCAGTTAAAAGATCCGAACGAAAGCTCAATTTGTGGGGAAAAAAAAAGGACATAAATTTAATTTGGGTGCAGCGCTGCATGACCGCGCAATTGTCAGTTAAAGTAATGCAGCGCCATAACACCAAAAATGGCCTGGTCAGTAAGGGGGAGAAATCCTCTGGGGGGCGAGGGGGAATCCTCTGCAGGGCGAGGGGGGGATCCTCTGCAGGGCGAGGGGGGGATCCTCTGCAGGGCGAGGGGGGGGATCCTCTGCAGGGCGAGGGGGGGATCCTCTGCAGGGCGAGGGGGGGATCCTCTGCAGGGCGAGGGGGGGATCCTCTGCAGGGCGAGGGGGGGGAATCCTCTGGAGGGCGAGGGGGGAATCCTCTGGAGGGCGAGGGGGGAATCCTCTGGAGGGCGACGGGGGGGGGAATCCTCTGGAGGGCGAGGGGGGAATCCTCTGGAGGGCGGGGAGGATCCTCTGTAGGGGGGGGGATCCTCTGGAGGGCGATGGGGGGAATCCTCTGGAGGGCAAGCAGTTAAAAGATCCGAGCGAAAGCTCAATTTGTGGGGGAAAAAAAAAAAAGGACAAATTTCATTTGGGTGCAGCGTTGCATGCCGCGCAATTGTCAGTTAAAATAACGCAGCGCCGTAACGCAAAAAAAAAAAAGGCCTGCTTTGAAGGGAAAAGAAACAAAAGCAATCTCTCTGTACAGAGCTCTGTGTTGGTTGTCAACACAGAACTCTGGACTGTGATTGGGTACAGCCGATGAGCAGGTCCCGGCCATGACTCGGTCAGGATCTGCTGACTAACTCCTGCTGTGTGGAACTATAGGGTAGTAGGCAGGCGGGGGCACAAAACCCAGGAAAGAGGTACGTGGCTTTGCCTGTAGGAGCCGCCCGTTGCAGTATATGTACTGTGGTGGGTCGGCAAGCAGTTAACCGCTTCCGCGTCGCCCTATAGCAGAAATACCGCTACAGGGCGGCACGGGTGCGCAAAATCACTATATATATATAATTTTGCGGCTCCAAGTAGGGGGAACGTGTGCGCTCCCCCCAGTGTGTGTCCGTCGCAGTCCCGCTATAAGTCGCTGATCGCCACCATCACTAGCAAAAATTCAAAAAAAAAATCCCAGTATCTATCCCGCCATTTGTAAAAACGCTATAACTTTCACATAAAACCAATTCATTGACACGTATCGGGATTTTTTTTTTTTTGCAAAGACACGGAGCAGAATACTTTTTGGCCTAAATTTATAATGAAATTAGATTTTTTTACTGAACGTGTTTAATAGCAAAAAGTCAAAAATATAGGTTTTTTTTTTCAAAATTATCGGTCTTTTTGTTTATAGCGCAAAAAAAATGTAAAAACCACAGAGGCGATCAAATACCACAGAGAGAAAGCTCCAATTCTGGGGGAAAAAAGACAGAAATTTAATTTGGGTGCGGCATGACCGCGCAATTGTCAGTTAAAGTAACGCAGCGCAGCGCCGTATCGCCAAAAATGGCCACGTCAGTAAGGGGGAGAAAATCCTCTAGAGGGCGATGGGGAATCCTCTGGAGTGCGATGGGGGGGGGGGGGAATCCTCTGGAGGTCGAGGGGGGGGAATTCTCTGGAGGGCGAGGGGGGGGGAATGAATCCTCTGGAGGGCGAGGGGAGGGGAGGGGGGGGGAGGAATCCTCTGGAGGGCGAGGGGAGGGGGGAGGAATCCTCTGGAGGGCGAGGGGAGGGGGAGGAATCCTCTGGAGGGCGAGGGGAGGGGGGAGGAATCCTCTGGAGGGGCGAGGGGGGGGGGAGGAATCCTCTGGAGGGCGGGGGGGGGGAGGAGGAATCCTCTGGAGGGCGAGGGGGGAATCCTCTGGAGTGCGAGGGGGGGGGAATCCTCTGGAGGGCGAGGGGGGGGAATTCTCTGTAGGGCGAGGCGGGGGGGGGGAGGAATCCTCTGGAGGGCGAGGGGGGGGAGGAATCCTCTGGAGGGCGAGGGGGGGGGGGGGGGGGGAGAGGAATCCTCTGGAGGGCGAGGGGGAGGAATCCTCTGGAGGGCGAGGGGGGGGGAATCCTCTGGAGGGCGAGGGGGGGAATCCTCTGGAGGGCGAGGGGGAGGATTCCTCTGGATGGGCGAGGGGGAGGATTCCTCTGGAGGGCGAGGGGGTGGGGGGGGGGAGGAATCCTCTGCAGGGCGAGGGGAAGGGGATCCTCTGGAGTGCGAAAGGAAGGGGATCCTCTGGAGGGCGAGGGGAAGGGGATCCTCTGGAGGGCGAGGGAAGGGGATCCTCTGGAGGGCGAGGGGAAGGGGATCCTCTGGAGGGCGAGGGGAAGGGGATCCTCTGGAGGGCGAGGGGAAGGGGATCCTCTGGAGGGCGAGGGGAAGGGGATCTTCTGGAGGGCAAAGGGGAGGGGAAGGGGATCCTCTGGAGGGCGAGGGGAAGGGGATCCTCTGGAGGGCGAGGGGAAGGGGATCCTCTGGAGGGCGAGGGGGGGGGGATCCTCTGGAGGGCAAGGGGGGGGGGATCTTCTGGAGGGCAAAGGGGGGGGATCTTCTGGAGGGCAAAGGGGGGGGGGATCTTCTGGAGGGCAAAGGGGGGGGATCTTCTGAAGGGCAAAGTGTGAAGGGGCTCCTCTGGAGGGCGAGGGGGGGGGATCTTCTGGAGGGCAAAGGGGGGGGATCTTCTGGAGGGCAAAGGGGGGGGGATCCTCTGGAGGGCAAAGGGGGGGGGGATCCTCTGGAGGGCAAAGGGGGGGGGATCCTCTGGAGGGCAAAGGGGGGGGGATCCTCTGGAGGGCAAAGGGAGGGGATCCTTTGGAGGGCAAAGGGGGGGGGGGAATCCTTTGGAGGGCAAAGGGGGGGGATCCTTTGGAGGGCAAAGGGGGGGGGGATCCTCTGGAGGGCAAAGGGGGGGGGAGGGGATCCTCTGGAGGGCAAAGGGGGGGGGGGATCCTCTGGAGGGCAAAGGGGGGGGGGATCCTCTGGAGGGCAAAGGGGGGGGGATCCTCTGGAGGGCAAAGGGGGGGGATCCTCTGGAGGGCAAAGGGGGGGGGATCCTTTGGAGGGCAAAGGGGGGGGGGTCCTTTGGAGGGCAAAGGGGGGGGGATCCTCTGGAGGGCAAGCAGTTAAAAGATCCGAACAGCTCCATCACCATAAACCGTATTTTCGTTGGACCGGAGTTCCCATTTATGTTTCGTTTGCGGCTAAACCCGCCTGTCTGACGTCTCGCTATATACTGATCGACCTGCCTCTGCTGCAGCTGCTGGGAGCTGTAGGAGCCTCCTTCTCCAGCTGCGTCAGGTGGAAGTCGGAGTCACAGAAGCAGCTGTCTCCTTCTACGTTGTGAAGACTTTCCCAGATCACCTTCTCCTCCTGCAGAAAGCCTTGGTCCGTCACCAACAAATACAGGTGGCCCTGTCATCGGGAACATGGAAAAAAGGATTTACTAAAAACACTGAAATATTGCATTTAGCCTTCGGGTCAATTTCAAAGCTTAGATGAGGTTTTGTATTATATTATTTAGGTCACAAAAGTATAAAAACTACCATACTATACATTCCCATGAATGAGCCCATAGCTTCTGTTGTCAATGCCCGCCTCTATTGGTCACAAGAAAGCAGAGCACCAAGTTAAAATGTTGCTGCGTATGTGAGAGAGAGAGAGAGAGAAAGAGAGAGAGAGAGCGAGAGAAAGCGAGCGAGACAGACAGACACATACAGTTGTGTTGTTCAAAATAATAGCAGTGTGTTGAAAAAAGTGAATAAAGCTGAAAATCCTTACTAATACTTTTATTTCCATCCACACACAGATGCATTGGGAACACGACACATTCTATTCCAAATCAATGAAGAAAAATACATCAAAATTGTGTTGTTCCTCTAAAAAAAAAAATTGAAGAAAAGTGAATATTAGACGGTTCAAAAAAATGGCAGTGTTTGTGTTTTCTCTTTACAAACTCAAACATTCACTATATAAACTGAGAAATGTTTAAGATTTGCTTTCCTTTGAATGACTTTCATGAATATTTGGTTGTAGTCGCACTGTTTCTGAGAACTGCTGTACATCTGTGTTGCATGGAGTCCCCCCAACTTCTGGCCCCTGTGATCAGGTATTCCAGCCCAGGATGATTGGACTACATTCCACAGTTCTTCTCTATTTCTTGGTTTTGCCTCAGAAACTGCATGCATTTTGATGTCACCGAGCCCACAAGTTTTCTATTGGATGAAGATCCGGGGATTGGCTGGCCACTCCATAACGTCCCATCTTGTTGGTCTGGAACCAAGATGTTGCACCTTTACTGGTGTGGTTTGGGGTCGTTGTCTTGTTGGAACACTCATTTCAAGGGCATTTCCTCTTTCAACATAAGTCAGCATGACCTCTTCAAGTATTCTGATGTATCCAAACTGATCCATGATCCATGGTATGCGATAAATAGGCCCAACACCGGAGAGTAATGAGAGACATCCCCATATCATGATGCTTGCACCCACCGATGCTTCCACGGTTCTTCACAGTGTACTGTGGCTTGAATTCAGTGTTTGGGGGTCGTCTGACAAACTGTCTACCGCCCACTAGACCCCAAAAAGAACAATCTTACTTTCATCAGTCCACAAAATGTTGCGCCATTTCTCTTTAGGCCAGTCAATGTGCTCTTTGGCAGATTGTAACCTCTTCAGCACACGTCTTTTTCCCAACAGTGGGTGACTTTGCGGGACCCCTCCTTCTTGCAGATAGCTTGGCTTCACATAGGCGTCTTCTAATTGTAACGGTCCTCACAGGGGAACGTCACACCTTCTGTCATCTTCCTGAGCTGATTGTTGGCTGAGTGTCCGCCCCATTTTTGGCTATTCTTCTATCCATTCCAATGGTAGTTTTTCGCTTTCTTCCCACGTCTTTCAGGTTTTTGTTGCCATTTTAAAGCAGTTTTGCAATCATTTTAGCTGGAGCAGTGCCGATCATTTTCTGCACTTCTTTATATGTTTTCCTCTCTCCAATCAACTTTTTAATCAAGGTACGCTGTTCTTCTGAACAATGTCTGGAACGACCCATTTTCCTCAGAATTTCAGAGAGAAATGCACTGTAACCGGCATGTCCAACATTTGCTAGCCTTCCTTCCTTAAATAAGGGCAATAATTGCCACCTGTTTTTTCAAAAAATGAATGACCTCACTAATAGAACTCCACACTGCTATTATTTTGAACACGCCCCTTTCAATGAGTGATTCAATGACACAGAATCAGCAGCATGCAAATGTCATGACTGTTGGGTCTGTTGGATTTCTATTACTCTCTAACTACACCTGCTAGGAAATTATTTGCCATGTAGAAATATCATTTCTACCAAAAAAAACAGGGATTGATCCCGGTTAGTGATGTCTGACTGCTATTTATTTCTGAACACAACTGTATATATTGTACATTCACATCAGTCCCTAACCCTCAAGGGGCGTACAATCTAAGGTCCCTAACTTTCGGAAGAAAAACATTGGTAGAATTTCGACCCATGTATGGTATTAGAGAGAGGGATGTGGTGTTGTTTGCCAAACTTTGTTGCAGGACGGGCCTATGCAGTCTGGTAGGGGTGCCATTCAATATACAGGGTGTCCCTAAAGTCTGGACGCATAACAGGCCAAAATGCATATTTTACCCATAAATATCAAAAATTTAACAACATATTGCTGTAATTTGGCGTTTCCGGGCGCAGAGCCGTACCTTGTGCTTTATCAATGTGCTGAAGTGATTGTTCCGGAAGAAGACGCTGAGCCTCGCCCTCCTTGACAGAGCGAGGCCATCAGTTCGCATAAGCCGTGATAGGTCAGTCAGCTGTGCTGCTGAAGACTCCAGGAACTGTTCCGCAAGAAGGCCTGCGAGAAAGATGAACGATAGAAGGAAAAAAAAAAAAAGAGGGGTGCACATAAGTCACCCCCATCAACACACTAGATGGCTTCAACTTAAATTCCTAATGAATAAAGTTGAAGTTTAATTTGAATATATTATTGAATTCCCTGGTTCCTCCCTGTCCCCGTCATCTACATGCCAATGACAATTTTTTTTTTTTAAATAAAACGTTTACGTTTTCTCTGTGCTTCTCTATGCATTGCAGGCAGATTATGGCTGGTGGGAGGGGCCAGCAGTTTGGCGGTACCTAGCTTTCTGAAAGCAACACATTCCCCTACCTCAATACTCCTCTCAAGAGCCCTCAGCCCTGATGAAAGCAGTGGGAGGAGTTATGCAAATATCAAAGTGCCTCGATGGGCTGTGTGTGTGAATGGACACATGGAGCAGCGGGTGTCCCCATAAGAAGCTGCTTGCTGTGGGGGCACCTGACAGGAGGGAGAAGCCAGGAGCGTCAGAGGGGGAACCCGAAAAAGAGCAGGATGCGGGACCCGAGCACCAGCGGAGGGACACGAGAAGAGCAGGTTGTGGGCTGCTCTGTGCAAAACCACTCCACACAGCAAGAAAGTATAGACATTTTTCTAAAAAAAATTAATAAAGCCTTTAGAATCACTTTAACTTTAGTGTATTTTTTACTGAGAAATTTTGCGATGATTATCATCATGTGACATAAAAAAACTGGAACTACCACCATTTTATTCTGTAGGGTAGAGGTGTCAAACCGGCGGGCCTCCAGCTGTTGCGAACCTACAAGTCCCATCATGCCTCTGCCTTTGGGAGTCCATGCTTGTAACTGTCAGTCTTGCAATGCCTCATGGGACTTGTTGTTTGGCAACAGCCGGAGGGCCGCCAGATTGACACCCGTGCTGTAGGGTGTCCGCTTTCAGAAAATATATCATGTTTTGGGGGTTTATGCAATCTTTCATGCAAAAAACGTCTCTTTCAGTGAAAAGGTTAAAAGTCTTCACCCCCCCAATGATAAGGAGTCACTGTATATATTAGGAGATATTACCTTCGGTCACCTGGCTGGGGTCGTTCGAATGCTTGCACATTATAATCTTTTCCACCAACTGGTTGTAACTTAGCTTGCCCACCGCTCTGACCGCTTCTGGACTCTGCAGGAAAGAAAACCCAAGAGGAGCAAACATTACATGAAAACAGATCTCCAGAGCACTGCGGGTTAGCTAACCGCGACGCCTTATCTGAATCCTATTAACAGTCTGGTAGTCTGTGACCCCGCTGCTTCTCTGGTGACAACGGTCTTAACAGAATGACTGATTCCCGGAGATGCCGGCGTCAAAACATATATTCGTACCGTCGGGAGAAGGGGAAACCCACCGGCTCCCGCAGGGCTCCCGCCCTTCACGGCAGGGCTCCCTTCACCGGGAATCCAAATGTCGCTCATGTTTATTATTTTAGCAGCCGCTGATTACTAATATTTCACCAGGAGAGCTTGTGATTGGTCCGCAAAAATGCATTGGCTGTGCAAATGATCTAATTACAAACAATTAAAAACATCTTGGACTCCATTCCTTTCCTTTTTGTATTTTTTATGAACTGTCGTAAAGTGTTACTAAACCCCCAGCAGTAAAATCAGCTGTAGATGCAGTAAAGCGTGATGGGTTGTTATACTCCGTCTGTGGGACCTAAAGAGGGTTAAGAGTAATCCTCTGCATTGTGTTCTGATCCTGGTCTCTGGGATGGGGGAAAAGTGGGAGGGGAAGAGGGAGGGGAAGAGGGAAGAGGGAGGGAGGGGATGATGGAAGAGGGAGGGGAGGGGAGAGGGGAGGGAGGGGAAGAGGAGAGGAGAGGGGAGGGGAAGGAGGAAGGAAGATGGGAGGGGAAAGAGGAAGAAAGAGGGAGGGGAAGAGGGGAAAGATGGGAGGGGGAAGAGGAAGAAAAGGGGGGGGGGGGGGAGGGGAAGAAAGCGAGAGTTGGGGGGGGGTCAAGAGGAAGAAAGAGAAAGGGGAAGAGGAGGAAAGAGAGGAGGGAAGGAGGAAAGAAAGAGGGGAGGGAAGGGGAAGAAGAGGGAGGGAAAGAGGAAGGGGGGAAAGGGGAAGAGGAGAGGCAAGAATGAGGGAGGGGGGAAAGCTGGAAGAAATAGCGGGGGGGAAAGAGGGGGGAGTAGGGGGGGAGGGATAGGAGGAAAGAGGGGAGGGGAAGAGGGTAGAAAGAGGGAGGGGAAGAAGGGAGAAAGAGGGAGGGGAAGCGGGAGAGAGAGGAGGGGAAGAGGAAAGAAGGGGAAAGAAGAGGGGGAAGAAGAAAGAGGGGAGAGGGAGGGGGGAGAGGAGGTGAGGAAGAAAGGGAAGACAAGAGGGAGGGGGAAAGAGGGGGGGATGGGGAATGGGGAAGGGAAGGAGGTTGGTGAAGGAGAGAAGAGGAAGTGGGAAGGGGAATGGGAGGGGAAGGAGGAAGAAAGGGGGAGGGGAAGGGGAAGAAAGAAGGGAGGGAGAAGGAAGGAAAGAGGGAAGGGGGAGGAGGAAAGGGGGGGGGGAAGAGGGGAGGAGGGAGGGGAGAAGGGAGAAGGAGGGAGGGGGGAGAGGGAAGGAGGGGGGAGGAGGGGGGGGGAGAAAGGGGGGGTGGAAGAGGAGAAAAGGGAGGGGAAGGGGAGATGGAGGGAGGGAAGGGGAGGGGGGAGATGGGGGGGGAAAGAGGTAGAAAGAGGGGGGGGAAAGGGGGGGAGGGGGGGGGGGAGGGAAGGGAGGGGAGGAGGGAAAGGGAGGAAGGGGCAGGGAGGAGGGGAAGAGGAGGAAGAGGGAGGGGAGGAGAAGAAAGGGGGGAGGAGAAAGAGAAGATAGGAGGAGGGGAAGGGAGGAAAGGGAGGGGGGGGGAAGGGGGAGGGGAAGAAAAAGGGAGAAAGAGGAAGAAGAGAGAGGAGGAAAAAAAGAGGGGGGGAAAGAGGAAAGGGGGGGGGGGGGGAGGGGAAGAGGGAGGAGGGAAAGAGAAGGATAAAGGGAGGGGAAGAGGGAGAAGAGGGACGAAAGAGAAAGGGAGGGGGAAGAGGAAGAAAGAAAGGGGAGGGGAAGGGGAGGGAAGAGGAGGGGAAGAAAGAAGAAAGAGGGGGAGAGAGGGGGAAAGAGGGAGGGGGGGGAGGGGGAAGGAGGGGGGGGGGAGAGGGAGGGAGGGAAAGGGGAAGAAACGGGGGGGGGAGAGGGGGAGGGAGAGGGGAGGGGGAAGAGAAAGAGGAGGGAGGAAGAGAAAAGGAAAGAGGGGAAAAGGGGAGAGGGAGGAGAAGGGGCGGGGGAAGAAGAGAAGGGGGGGGGAAAGGAAAAGGGAGGGAGGGAGAAAGAGGAAAGGAGTAGAGAGAAGGAAGAAAGGGGGGGGGAAGAGGGAGAAAAGGGGGGAAGAGGAAAAGAAGGGGGGGGGGGGGGAGGGGAAGGGGGGGGGAGGGAAAGGGGAGGGGCGGGAAAAAAGAAGGGAGAAGGGAAAAAGAGGAGTAAGAGGGGGGGGGGAAGGGAGGGAGAAAGGGGGGGGAAGGGGGGGGGAGGGAGAAAGAGGGAAGGGGGGAGAGAGGGAGAGGAAGAAGGAAGGGAAGAGGAAAGGGAAAGAGGGAGGGGGGGGAAGAAGGGGGGGGGGGAGGGGGGAAAGAGGGAGGGGGGGAGGGGAAGGAAGGGAAGAAGGAAAGAAAGGGGGGGAGGAAGGGAAGGGGAAGGGATAGAGGGAGGGAGGGGAAAGAAAGAAGGGAGGGGAGGAAGGAAGAAGGAAAGGGAAGGAAGGGGAGGGAAAGGGGGGGGGAGGAAGGGGGAAAGGAGGAAGAGGAAGAAAGAGAGGAGGGGAAGGGGAGGGGGAAGGGGGAGGGGAAAGGGGGGAAAGGGGGAGGGAAGAAGGGAGAGGAAGAAGGGGGGGAAGAGGGAGGGGAAGAAGGGAGAAAAAGGGAAAGAGAGAAGGAGAAAGAGGGAGGTAGGGGGAAGGAGGGAGGGAGGAGAAGGGGGAGGAAAGGGGAAGGAAGAAAGAAGGGGGGAGGGGGAAAAAGGAAGGGATAGAGGAAGGAGGGGGGGGGGGAAGAGGAAAAGAAAATGGGGAGGGAGGGGGGGGGAGAGGGGAGGAGAAGAAGAAAGGGAGGAGGGGGGGGGGAAAGGGGGAAAGGGGGGAGTGTGGAGGGGGAAAGAAGGGAAAGAGGGAAGGGGAGAAGGAAAAGGGGGAAGAGGGGAAGAGGGAGAGGGGGGAAGGAAGGAAGGGGATGGAAGGGGGAAGGAGAAGGGGGAGGAAAGGGAAAGGGAAGAAGGGAGAAGGAGGGGAAGAGGGGAGAAAAGAGCGGAGAGGAAAAAGAAGGGAGAGGGAAAGGAGAGGGGAAGGGAGGGGGAAGGGGGAAAGGAGAAAGGGGGGAAGAGGGGGAAGGGGGAAGAAAGGAAAGGGGAAGAAAGGGGAGGAAGGGGGAAGAAAGAGAGGAGGGAGGAGGGGTAGAAGAGGGAGGGGAAAGATGAGGAAGGAAAGGGAAGGGGGGAAGGATGGGTGGGGAGAAAGGGGGGAGGTGGAAAAGAGAGGAAGGGAAGACGGGGTGGGGAAGCAGAGGGGAAAGAAGGGAGGGGGGGAAAGAGGGGGGGGGGGGAAAAGGAAAAGAGGGGAAAGAGAAAGGGGGGGGAGAGAGAGAAGAGGGAGAGGGGAGGTGGGAGGGGGGGGAAAGAAGGGGGGGGAGGGAAGGAAGGGGAAGGGGGGGGAAGAGAGGGAAAAAGACGATGGAAGGGGAAGAGAAAGGAGAGGAGAGGAGGAAAAGAAGGGGGGAAGAGTAGAGGAAGGAAGGGGGGGGGGAGGGGAGAAGAGGAGGAGGAGGGGGAAGGGGGAGGGGCGGAAGGAAGGAGGAGGAAGAGGGGAGAGAGGGGGAGGAAAGAGAGGAGGAGGGGAGGGGGGGGGGGACAGGAGGGGGGGGGAGGGGAGGAAGAGGGGAAGGGAGAGGAGGGTAGCGGAAAAACAGAGATGGAGGGGAATGGGAGAGAGGGGAGGGAAAGGGGGAAGGGGGGGAAGGGGGATAAGGAAGAAGGGTGCAGAGGGAAGAGGCGAGGGAGAGGGAGAAGAGGAGAGGGAAGGGAAGGGCAATGTTTGGGGGGTTCTGACTATTGTTCTAGCAAAAAACTATATTATTCTTACTATATTAATACAGGGTTTATATAGCGCCAACACTTTGCCCGGCGCTTTACAAAATGAAGGCAGACATTACAGATAAAATACAATTTGGTACAAGAGGAATCAGAGGGCTCGTTAGATCTTACAATCTAAAAAAAAATGATGATTTTTGGAGAAGAAATATCAGAATAGGCCTGGGCGGGAAGCAGGTAAAAAAAAAAACCGCACAGCGATCCGATGCAGGCAAACACACTGCGGGTGAGGTGTCATCAAAGTGAACATCACATCATTAACAGATCGCAACTGCAGTGCGTAGGGAATGCGAGTTTCTCGCACCCAACAGGCCCCAAAGGGATAAACAAGCCGCACCGGAACACATTTCACAGCCAATGCAGTTCTTCCTTAGCGGTACCTGGGGGTCGACCAGCCAACCGTGGTACAGCGGTATGTTGAGGAGGTCGAAGACGATGCATTCTGGGGGTGTACTCGAAATCTGACACTCCTGTGAAGCGCACGTTGACATCTAGACCTGTCGAGAGCTTGGGCAAAACAGTCATGGCGTCATTCACGTTCTGCAAAAAAAAAAAAACAAAACATTTAAATAGGTAGGTAAAAAATAAAAAAGGGGAAACAAAAAAAAAAAAAAAAAAAAAAGCTGCCTGGTTTTCCTGTAATCTGAAGCTCAGTTAGAGGGATTTCTTCCCACTTTCTGCCCGGCTGATCTGTCACCAGACAGGAAGTGAGGAAAAAAGAAAACTTCAACAGCAGCACTGATATAAATGAAACGCTTTTCTTTAACCACTTCAAGTCTACCCCCTTCCTGCCCAGGCCAATCTTCAGCTTTCAGCACGATCATGCTTTGCATGACAATTGCGCGGTCATGCGTCACCATACCCATATGAATTTTGTAGCATTTTTTTGAGACGGATAAAAAAAAAAAAAAAAAAAAAAAAAACGTTATTTTGGTGGTATTTTATTCACCATTGGGATTTTAATTTTTTTGCTATATAAAATGAAAAAGTCCAAACATTTTGAAAATAAAAAAAAAAAAAAAGTGTTTTTCTTATAAAATTTTGCAAATAAATAATCTTTCTTCATAAATCTTGACCGAAATGTATTCAGCTATTTTTTTAGTAAAAAAAAAAAAATATTAGTTTATAACCAAAAATTCAAATTTTTCTAAATTTTTTTTGTACATTTAATTTTTTTCATATATTTTTTCTTTTAACCCCTTCATGCCGGCGCCTCCCGGCCCTTTAAGAGCTTCAGAAGCCGGGAGGTGGGACGGGCGGGGTGGGGTTTAGGGATCATGTGACCGCCACCGTAGGTCCCGATCGAAAGAGGAGATCGGGACCTTTCCGTGACTACCGGACATGTGTGCTGGGAGCGCGCAGGGCGTGCGCTCTCAGCACATATGTTTTTTCTTACCTGACCGCAAATGTGCAGCCGCTCGGCGGCTAGGCCCAGACGCCAGGAGGCCGCACATTTGTGTGCAGCCGGCGTGAAGGTGTTAAACATACTGTCACCATGGTGACACTGTACTACTTGTGGGGGGTGATGAAGATTTTTTTTTTTCTTTTTTTACACCGATTGTTTTTGCACCCATAAAGGCTGTAAAATCAATCATTTCTCCTTCTCTCTGGCTGCATTCTTGCAGGCATTGAGAAATACTGAGTGAGCTGTGATTGGTCACATCTTGTCACATGGTAGAAGGCTGTTGTGAATAGCCCTGTACTATGTGATCTCTGTGATCATTCACAGATTTCACACGTAGTAAGCAATGATGTCAGCAAGTGACATCTTGTTTACTACTGTTGATGTGATCGCACGATCGGCCAATCAGTCATCGCACGATCGCACAATCGGCCAATCAGTGATCGCACGATCGGCCAATCAGTGATCGCACGATCGGCCAATCAGTGATCGCACGATCGGCCAATCAGTGATCGCACGATCGGCCAATCAGTGATCTCACGATCGGCCAATCAGTGATCTCACGATCGGCCAATCAGTGATCTCACGATCGGCCAATCAGTGACCTCACGATCGGCCAATCAGTGACCTCACGATCGGCCAATCAGTGACCTCACGATCGGCCAATCAGTGACCTCACGATCGGCCAATCAGTGACCTCACGATCGGCCAATCAGTGATCTCACGATCGGCCAATCAGTGACCTCACGATCGGCCAATCAGTGACCTCACGATCGGCCAATCAGTGACCTCACGATCGGCCTATCAGTGATCACACGATCGGGACCTCACACAGGAGGTCCCGTACAGCGATCGGCACCAGATCGCAGTGCTGCGCGCGCACAGGCAGTGAATGCGGGGGCCAATTATAAACGGCGGCCCGCTCCTGCACTGCTCCCGTCCGTTTATGTACATGGGCCGGACAGGAAGTGGCTAAGGCTAGAACCAGTGTCATTTAATTTGTATTTCAGTGTTGCTGTTGGAGATTTTCCCTCACTTTCCGTCCGATGAATCCGCTGTCAGTAGGACAGGAAGTAAGGAGAAATCTCATTAATGGGGCCATGGATAGCAGCAAAGACCTGACAGAGGTTATAATCCTTCCCCACTTTATCCCAAACCGATGCAAAACTGATGTTAGATCTGCTACCACCATAGGAGGCAGGAGACCGGCTATACTAAATCCCCTATGAGCCTATTAACAGTGGACTTAAAGAGTAACTCCACTTTTGTTGAGAAAAAAAAAAAATTCCCCTCTGGGTGATCTATGTACATTGCAGGGATTTTACCAAAATTTGTTACAGATTCCGACCTTTTGCTATTCTGAAGAAATGGCTGTTTGTTTGCCTGTGTCCATGTGCGGAGTGAATCTAACAGGAGTGATTTTAGAATGATCAATCAGCTGCAGGGTCCTGAGGAAAGTGGTGGGGTCTGCATCCTTATAGACATGATTTCCCTTTGAGAGAATAGGTCACCAAATTTAAATTTTTGTTGCAGGGGATGCTCAAAATCAAATGTGTATCTCAGTGAGCCAATCGCACGAGCGGGAAATGACATTTCTGGAGGGCCTTCTGCGCACAGAACGCCTCCAGGCCGCCATATTGCGTTCTACAGAGAATTACAGCGCTGCAGATTGAAAAAGAAAGTTAATTTGTAACATTTAATTACAACAGGACGTGTCACAATTTTAGATGCTTTTTTTTTTTTTTTTCTTCCCACGAAAGCGGAGTTACCCTTTAATTCAAAATTTGTTCTGAAAATCATCACCTCGGAACAGACCTGCTGAAAATTGAGCTGAAGCACTTCAGATTTTTCTTGCGGCTCGATGGACAATATACAATCCCCTGAAGGAAAAAAAAAAAAAAAATAGAAGTCACCAAAACGAAAAAAAAACAAAAACAAAAAGAAATTCACATGTTAAAACTGAACTCTGGGCACTTTTATTGAAAGAAGACCCCCCCCCCCCCCCCATTGCTAGAAACCTGTATACCTGACTGGGGGGGGGGGGGGTAATAAACAATCATACTTACTTTGTTCTTGTGACTTTAACTTTATTCTTACCTGTTTTTGTCCTGCCTAAAAACTACAGGGGGCGGAGACAAGACCAGGCACCATGAACAAGGAAAGAGCAGAGTTGTGGGAGGGGCCCAACAGGCTCAACCTGCTACAGAAAAGTAGAGGAGGGGGCGGAGACAAGACCAGTCACCCTGTGCGAGCAGAGCTGTGGGAGGGGCCCAACAGGCTGCACCTGCTACAGAGAACTACGGGGGGGGGGGTGAGGAGACAAGACTAGTCTCTCTGTACAAGCAGAGAGCAGAGCTGTGGGAGGGGCCCAACAGGCTGCACCCACTACAGAAAACTACAGGGAGGGGGGGGCGGAGGCAAGACCAGACACCCTGCACAAGGAGAGGAAGCAGCAGTGAGTGGTCAAGACAAGACCAGTAGCTCTGTACAAGCAAATAGAACAGAGCTGTGGGAGGGGCCCAACAGGCTCCACCTGCTACAAAAAAAAACTGAAGGAGGGGGCAGAGCAAGACCAGTTGCGCTGCACAAGGAGAGAGAGCAGAGCTGAGGGAGGGGCCCAGCAGGCTCGACCCACTACAGAAAACTACAGGTGGGCGGAGTCAAGACCAGTCACCCCGTGCAAGCAGAGAGCAGAGCTGAAGGAGGGGCCCAGCAGGCTCCACCTGCTACAGAAAACTACAGGTGGGCGAGCACCAGTCACCCTGTGCAAGCAGGAGCAGAGCTGAAGGGGAGGGGCCCAGCAGGCTGCACCTGCTACAGAAGACTACAGTGGGGGCGGAGACAAGACCAGTCACCATGAACAAGGAGAGGAAGCAGCAGCGAGCAAGACAAGACCTAGGAGGGGGCGGAGACAAGACCAGTCACCATGAACAAGGAGAGGAAGCTGCAGCGAGCGGTCAAGACAAGACCAGTAGGAGGGGGCGGAGACAAGAACAGTCACCTTGACAACAAGGAGAGGAAGCAGCAGCGAGTGGTCAAGACAAGACCAGTAGGAGGGGGCGGAGACAAGACCAGTCACCATGAACAAGGAGAGGAAGCAGCAGCGAGCGGTCAAGACAAGACCAGTAGGAGGGGGGCGGAGACAAGACCAGTCACCTTGAACAAGGAGAGGAAGCAGCAGCGAGCGGTCAAGACAAGACCAGTAGGAGGGGGCGGAGACAAGACCAGTCACCATGAACAAGGAGAGGAAGCAGCAGTGCGGTCAAGACAAGACCAGTAGGAGGGGGCGGAGACAAGACCAGTCACCTTGAACAAGGAGAGGAAGCAGCAGCGAGCGGTCAAGACAAGACCAGTAGGAGGGGGCGGAGACAAGACCAGTCACCATGAACAAGGAGAGGAAGCAGCAGCGTGCGGTCAAGACAAGACCAGTAGGAGGGGGCGGAGACAAGACCAGTCACCTTGAACAAGGAGAGGAAGCAGCAGCGAGCGGTCAAGACAAGACCAGTAGGAGGGGGCGGAGACAAGACCAGTCACCATGAACAAGGAGAGGAAGCAGCAGCGAGCGGTCAAGACAAGACCAGTAGGAGGGGGCGGAGACAAGACCAGTCACCTTGAACAAGGAGAGGAAGCAGCAGCGAGCGGTCAAGACAAGACCAGTAGGAGGGGGCGGAGACAAGACCAGTCACCATGAACAAGGAGAGGAAGCAGCAGCGAGCGGTCAAGACAAGACCAGTAGGAGGGGGCGGAGACAAGACCAGTAGGAGGGGGTGGAGACAAGACCAGTCACCATGAACAAGGAGAGGAAGCAGCAGCGAGTGGTCAAGACAAGACCAGTAGGAGGGGGCGGAGACAAGACCAGTCACCATGAACAAGGAGAGAGAGCAGAGCTGTAGGAGGGGCCCAGCTACAGAAGACCAGTAGGAGGGGGCGGAGACAAGACCAGTCACCATGAACAAGGAGAGGAAGCAGCAGCGAGTGGTCAAGACAAGACCAGTAGGAGGGGGCGGAGACAAGACCAGTCACCATGAACAAGGAGAGAGAGCAGAGCTGTAGGAGGGGCCCAGATGCAGAAGACTACAGGAGGGGGCGGAGACAAGACCGGTCCCCCTGCACAAGGAGAGGA